AGCTCTTGAACATGTGTATGTTTTATGATGGAGAGTTTTTTGACCTGCAAGTGAGAGATAAAAGTTAAGCTGCTTCTCTTGCTTGCAAGGCTATGCTAGTTTGTTCTGTGTTTATGAGCTGAGCTGTTTTGTTGTGGGTACCACAGAATTGTATATTTTTTGAAGATATCAAATAGGTCTGACTTACAAGAAGTGTACATTCCTGCCAGACACACAAACAAACGCTCATTTAAACTTTGACAGTTTACAGACTGTAAATAACACAGCTTTGTGTTTCAAAAGGCGAACAGTCCTCACTAACATCAACTTGTAGTTCCAAGTGATAGTGATGCTATTGTAACACACTTCTAACAAACTTTGTCCAAAGGCATGAGAAACTACAATGTCAAACAGTATAGTCTATGGATCAAAGGAAAATTTAGTCATTTTCAAAAATTTGGTTTGGAAATGACTTTTTTTTTTATTTTTATTTTTTACTTGCATCGTATGTAAAATTGGATCTCAAATAAACTCTTCACTGACATGCTCCTCACACTTAGTGAACAAGTACACAGAAATATACTCTTCACTGACATGCTCCTCACACTTAGTGAACAAGTACACAGTGAAGATTTTATGCAAGTAAAAATCATCCCCCAAGAAATTTAACAAACTCTTTTGTGCGTTTCATCTTTTCTACTTTTTTATCGGTCATGTGCTTTTACATTTACTTCCTGTAGATACTGTGAACATTTAGCATTTGTGAGGAAATGGTAACAGAAATGGTGTAAATATGATGTGCTTAATTACTGTGGGTGCCAAGTGAAGGAAGAGGTTTTATGATAAGGCATAAAAAGAGAACCCTGGGGTCCTACAGCAAAACAGACACCTCAGACAACACCCAAACAAGTGCTCATTCTCGCAGACCAATATTTCTGAGCATCATTTTGTAAACTGCAGTAAAAGATGTGAATGTGCGCAAGTGCCAAGACTATAGCAGGCAGAAACAGAAAATCTCTCAGTTCTTGTCAACATTTTTAAAAATCCTTTTAAATACAGAGTCATTTTTCATGGTGGTACCAAAGGTTTTTTGTTTCACACACAAGTTTTTTTTTTTTAATGGCTAAACTGTGAAACTTTCTGTTTCATGACTTCTCACACAAAAACCCATTGGCATAAGCAGTAATTAATGAGGCAACAAGAGAAATTGGAGGAAATTACAAACAGACAGTGTGACAGATTATTGTTTTTATTCAGATCTAAACTACTAATCTAAATGTGGCTAAATCACTGGTATGATGAGAGCTTTCTTGGTTAGGTGGAGAAAGTGGGAAGCACCCTGTGAACAGCCAGCGTATTCTCTCGGGCCTTTCATACCACTGCTGCTGGAAACATCCAAAATTTGGATAATTTAGTATGTAAAGACAAAACTTTTCAGGGCCATGAATATTTTCTGTCCCAGTTGTTGTTGTTGCAAGTCTCAGTACTGGTCCAGCATAAGGGTAGATCAACTAGATTAGTGGTTCTCAAACGGTGTTCATGGTAATAATTATGCAGATAATTATACGGCTTCTGGTCATTATATAAAATTTCAGTCTTTAGAATTCTGAGGCATTATCTGCAGTTTCGTTCTTGTTAATTAAAACAGAAATTATTTCTATCATTTAAATAAAGCTGAAATATAACTAAAAAAACTTATTACTAATTTAAAATCAACAAAACTAGAATTAGAACTGTTGCCCTTGCAGCTAACTTAAATACTATAATAGTATATAAATAATACTAAAATAACACTGGCTGTTTATCAGTGTATCATTTGTTCTTATTTTATTTATTAATTTTATCTTGTTTTTCAATAAAATAATCAAATAAAAACAATAAAAAACAACTAATTTGTTCTAATTTTTTAGTTGCCAAATCTGGGATGACAAATTCAATGGGGCCCTTCAAAAAACATTGAAATATAGTATACTCGCATAATCTCTCACTAAATGTTCCTTTGGTCTTGGAACACATGAGGAATCATAACATGATGTTCGTCAGCCTCATTATATATGAGAGATGTACTAAATTCCAGAACGAGAATCTTGAACTGTAACCTCTGTTTGGATAGACTCAATTTATTCAATACCAACCCCTGGTCTACCACCACATTTCTTTCAGAAATAATAATGGTACACTTTATGTAATGCAAAGAAAACACAGGCCTTTTCTTAACCCAAACCCTCTGTTAAAAGTACCATAATGGTTACTTGTGGTCGGGCAAACGCGCCTTGTTCATCTATCAACAATAAAAATATAGAAAATGTCGAAATGAAACAAGCCACACAATGTGTGGCACCGTGCAAAGCATCGCTGGATCATGTGGAAAAAACAATTTACTTTCTGTGCAAAACATAGACTACAACTGCAAGTTGAGGGTCAAAATATTCATTTTCCATCTCTTCTGTAATGATTAGTGGTCTCAAAGCAGACATGTTTCCACAATACTCCTTAATGAAAGACTATTTTCAGCAACAGCAAATAAAAGTCTAAGAAGAACATTATCCTCTACATTCTAAATGAATCAGTAGCAAAAATACTCAACTTTAAAAATCTGTCAGTGATATGACATGATATGAAAAACACTCCTTTTTTAATGTGTCGGTGTGTCAATCATCAACAGAAGAGAAATTGTATGCATCTCATCACTCATCTCTGTTAGTTGGGAGTTTTAAATAAAGTCATATGCAGCTATCTTTAATCACGGACAAATGTTTTCCCTGGCAAAGAGAGTGAAAGTGAAGTTAGTAAGCATAAGAAAAGGAAATTAGGAGAGCAGGCGAAGGTTGTCTTAACTGACAAAAAGGCTGTTTGTTTCTGACTTTCGACACAATAAATCTATCAAACTATTATCGGAAACACTAAAACTTTTCATTTATATGGGGTGTAAATAAGGAGACCACAAGAAAGATGGAAGGACCAATAGAAATAAAGAGCAGTGAATAAGAGAATACAGGAAACGGGGTCATAGCGCTCTTGGAAAAAGAAAGGGTGGTGTTAGAAAATGAGTAGCAGACAGAAATAGGGAAGGCTGAGCTTGATGAATAGATGTTGGTATTTTCCTTCTTTCCTTCCAGAAGCTGAAGAAACTCTACTCTGGACTGCAAGTCTGCCTACTTTACGAGCCATGGTGGAAGGAAGCAAACTCTGGCACTCTGAATTTAAGAGGAAAAAAGTAGGCCACACCAAAACATGCCATCAGTCCGAGTTGGAAAAAGACTAATATTAAAGGGTTTTTCCAATGAGCAGGCAGAATTTGAGAACAAAATCTTTGACATTTCTGTTGCACCTGAACCCTCATGGAAGCCACAGCCTAGGAATCTTCTAAAGTGATCAAATGCGTGTCTAACAGTGAATTGATGATGAATGACATCAAGCTTTGGCAAATCACAGGGCTTTAACAAAGTCAAGTCAGTGCCTCTGGATCAATCTTACTCTCAGCTGTATGACTCAGAACCTAATCGTCTTAAGTTACTAATAGCAAATTTCACGTTTCATTAAGAGTGAATTTAATTGTCGCTGAAAGGGAACGTCAGTGAGAGAAATCATACTTGAAAAGGGTTGAGAGTGGGTGTATGAAACTCAATTTGTGTTCAACAGTCTCACGGGTCATGTTTTTGGGGCTCTAAGTTAAGTTTCAAACCGCACCAAACACATGGACTCGAAGGAAGTCCTCTGGATCAAAAAGCTTGCTCTGGCCCATAACAAAAGGAAAACTGTCAACTGCTAATGCAATATCGCCACAAAAAAAAATGCATAAACCTGCAGCAAAAGAATAAAGGCACTTTACTGGAGAAGACTCTAAAGCCATCACAATTTTTCTCTGTATTTTCATTTTAAAGGAAAGAACAGTTGAAATGCTTTTCAAAGGAGAATGTCAGGACACGGTTATAGCATGCCAGAACAAAATATGAAGCAAAAAAAGTTTTTTTTTTGTATTTCCAAAGTGTGTGCGCATGCGCTTTGAACACCTTGTGAATTGCGGTCTCACAATATAAATGAAGAAACAAAGCAGCCAAAACCCACTCGGGAAACAGGGTGTAAAAATGTTTTAAAAACCAAGGTGATATGTCTATATTAATTCTCAACTGAAAATAACAATAATGCAACAACAATTTCATTACAAAAACCACTTTTGATCATATTCCAAAGAAAAAGAGACAACACTGAAAGTAAAAAAAAAAAAAAAAGAAGAGACTACAGTCACGTCACTTTCAATTGCTGGAAAACTTCCTTCACTGCAGAATCCATTCAAGTCTGGTTATCTAGACTTTCTTGCAAAGCCCTCTTTCCATTTAAAACCTCTGGTATTTGGCACCCTCTGCTGTTCCTACAAGAAGAAAACTCTTCATGCACTGTTGTAAATGAATTACACTGGGAGAGCATCTGTCCTCAGTGTATTAAAAAGAAAAGACCCAAGTAATTTAACAGTTCCCAGTTCCACTGCACTGAATGACGTGCTTTTAACTTTAAAAACAATTCATGACAGTTTGATATGACTTCTCCATCTACTGGGATTTTTTTAATCGTTTTTATTTTTTACCAGCCCTATATAATAATGTTTTTATTAACATCATTACATTTTATCTGCTTTGTTTTTTTTTTTTTTGTAAACCTTTGCTACACATAGGAAAAACCCTTTTTATAAAAGCAATAAGCCCCGTGAAGCCGTGGTTTACAGTGAATTTATAACAGCTAAGGGGGTTTTACAACGCCCCTTAGCTGTTATAAATTCAATGTAAACCACGGCTTCTTGGGGCTTATTGCTTTATTAAAATAATGTTTTATAATATTAATATTTTATAAATGTCATTTAGGCTTTAAAAAAAACAAGAAAACACCACAAAGACCATGTTCAAACAATCTTTTAATTTGAATTTACTGAAAGCATGAACGTACATATTCTTTGATTTCGACTCAACGATAAAGCAAGCTACGAGTTACAATGCACAATTCTGCATGGAAAATGAACTTGTCAAGAACCATACCACCTCTCTAGAGTCTCAGTTAGGATTGGTGGTTGTAATGTGGTCTGATTATTTGTGCGCTTCAAAGGTCTAAACCAGGGGTGGGCAAACTTGGCCCTTCCAGGCCACTTTCCTTCAGAGTTTAGCTCCAACTCTAATCAAACACACCTGAACCAGCAAATCATTGTCTTAAAGACTACTAGAAGGCTACAGGTAGGTGAGTTTTATCAGGGTTGGATCAAATCTCTGCAGGAAAGTGGCCTGGAAGGGCCAAGTTTGCCCATCACTGGTCTAAACGGACACCGTTTTACTTTTTTTCCTCCCCAAGTGTGGTGCAATTTATTTCTTGGCAGCTTGCAGACGCTCGCTGACATTCTCCCAGTTCACAACATTCCAGATGGCCTTAACATAGTCAGGTCTAACATTCTTGTACTGGAGATAGTATGCATGCTCCCAGACATCTATCCCAAGTAGAGGGACGAGACCTCAAATTTAAAAGGGAAAGAGAGTATAGTAAAGTTCAAAGACTTTAACAACTTGAAAAACAAATTATTTCTTTCTCTTTGGAGTCTACCAGAATATTGCTTTACCTTAAGAAATACATACAACTGCTACATATACATGGATGACTCCTGTGAATAAGTTGGAGTTTTTTTTGTGTGTTTATTCACTGAGGGTCTTGTTAAGAGTGTATGAAAAATGACAGTGTGAACTCTCGGGACTCATACCTTTACTACCAAAATAGATATATTCTCTTCTATTCATTGTGGAAGATTTACCTGTAGTGCCCTGCAAAGGGTCTTGGTTCGCACATGCAGCAATCCTCAGTCTTCCACTGTCCTTATCAAAGCCCAGCCAGCCCCATCCTGAGCCCTGAACGGCCACTGTGGCAGCTGACATCTTCTCCTTCATCTTCTGTAATGAGCCAAAGTCACGCTTAATGGCTTCCAACAGCTCACCTGTAATAAAAAAACACAAAGACTCATCACATACAACTATATGCTTCATAAATGACAAATGAAATAGCAGTATGGATATGTTCAACGTCTATTCATGTGTACAATGACTCCTACCCTGTGGTTCTCCTCCACCGTTCGGTGACAGATTTGTCCAGAATATGGTATGATTAATATGGCCACCACCGTTAAATTTCAGTGCAAGCTGAAGGGAGACTTGAGTTGTCACATCACCTGTAACACAGCAAGGTCAAACCTAAACACTTGTTATATGCAATGAAGACATTTCAAATAATATGCTAAGTCCTTAGAGCAGTGGTCACCTGGTAGCCCGCATGGAGTCTCTAAGTCGCCCGCAAAGCACGTTCTATAAATAGCCTAAATTAGCGTCGGGATGACGCTAAATGATATCACATCGAGATTATGATACAATTTATGTTAATGATGATAAACTCTGGACATTTTTACTCAAAATGTTTTAATCTAACACCCTATCACACAACAGAAATAAATGTTACAGCAACCAGTCAGTGCATGTCGCTAATAAGTCTGCATGTTCTGTGTGTCTCTGAATGCGTGGAGTGGTTTCATCTGATACACAAACTCATACACACGTACTCGCGGTGTTTTCAGCGTCTGCATCTCAATATATGAGGACATGAACATATGCACTTTATCTTTAGAGCTGCTCTGACAGTCACTCACTTCACCAGCTTTATGCAGTTTATTTGAGAAAAAAATACTGTCAAATACACGCTGAAACTAAAACTACCTGAAAGACCTTCACGACAAACCGTAAAAAATAAAAGTCCGGTTTAACGTGAAATTATATGACAACCAAGTTATTTTTTATTATTATAAATGTATACAGTTCTGTTGTGCAGCATCATGTCTGATAAAATACAATGCAAAGTTTTATTAATTCATTTCACTAGACACCATATATATATATTACACTGTTATACAAGCTGTACACTCACTACTTTACATTGTAGCAAAGTGTAATTTATTCAGTGTTGTCACATGAAAAGATATAATAAAATATTTACAAAAATGTGAGGGGTGTACTCACTTCTGTGAGATACTGTGTATATATATATATTGGAGTATATCAAACAAGTAGCCCTTGAGACTATTTCATCCCTTCAGCGAGCCCTCACTCACAAAAAAGGTTGGAGACCCCTGCCTTAGAGTGTAGTAAAAGTAAACTAATTTTTATACAGCTACTACTGAACCATTAATGAAACATATACTGGTCTACATTATAAATGATTGAGGGAATGAGGTGTAAAGCAGTGTAATTTCAGTATTACTTGTATACTAATCTAGCGTTTATTAATATTTTGAACTGGCTTTTAATTTTATATTTTCAGTTATCATTTGAATTTTAGTTTACTTTTTAGCAATTTTATGTGCATTTGTTATGTTTATTGGTTTGTTTTAAATGTTCCTATTTAGTTAAATAGTTAAGTTTTAGTTTGTTATTTTAGTACGTAAACATTTCATTTCAGTTAGCTGCCAAGCAACATTTTTGTTTACATTTTTATAAATTTATATTTTCATCTAAAATTTATATTTTATTTGATTTTAGCTTTATTTCAATTAATGAACATATGTTTATAAAAAGGTGAAATATAGAGACGGAGATGCATGAAAATGCTTGAGCAGTAATCCCGTGCATTTTCCCGTTTAACGTTAGTGGAGCAGTTTCGTTTTCAAACGAGCAACTGAATTTTTCCTCATTGTCGCTACGTTTTTACGATTTTTTATGCACGACTGCGAAGTGAGTGATATAAACAGGCAAATTCTTCCCCTGTAGTTGTTGCGTTGATGTAAAAACGAGCGAATTTCTCGCCTGGTGGCCTATATTTGTAATAGCACATGTGTAGGCGTGTGAAATCCACGCTACTGTCTCTAGGTCTTTGCTTCATATTATTGCTTGGAATGCCTGCGGATCTTTGAGTCCTTTGCATTCACTGGATGCTTGACTTGTTCGCTTCTGTCTTTCACAGAGATCAGAATGACCAATGAAGAACCTCTCCCGAAGAAGGTGAGCTCATTGTCGCAGTCTAATCTGATTATACCAGTCCCTTTCCGCCAACATGGTCTCTTTATAAGTCTTTATTTCCCTTTTATGTCCTTGCAGGTTCGCCTTAGTGAATCTGACATGAAGACCCTGACGCGAGAGGAGCTGTGTACAAGGTGTGTAGCCATTCTGTTGTGCAATAAGATTTAGGAGTATGTATATATGTTGAAGCTTTCCAGATTGTAAGACTGATGTGTTTTGTTCCGGGTGTAGGTGGAAACAGCATGAAGCTTACATCCAGATGCTTGAGGCAAAATATGCTGATTTAAACTGTAAGTTTGCACATCCCAGATGTTCTGAATAATTAATAGTCTTGAGTGGTTTACTAAAGCAAAGGTACTAGGTGTAATGTTGTGCAGAAAATAAAATGTCTATAACTAGGCTAATGCATCTTTTTCATGCTGAAATGTCTGCAGCCAATGATGTGACAGGCCTGAAAGAGTCTGAGGAGAAGTTGAAACAGCAACAGCAGGAATCTGCACGCAGAGAAAACATCCTGGTGATGAGGCTTGCTACTAAAGAGCAGGAAATGCAAGAGTGTACAGTAAGTGTGTTATTATGTCTCCTTTTTTGCTTCTGATTTAGGGGCAGTTCTTATTGGAGGAACTGGGTCAGTTTGCTTGAATGATATTGAGTGTCTCTGATGGAGTGTAGTAGATGTTTTGATTTCTACAGCATGTGGATGTAGTATTTAAATGATAGTGGATTAGAAGTGTTAAGATTTTAAACACAGTAGTTGTATTTGTCCTTTGTACTGACTTGTCTGTGAAGCATCTGTGAATATTTACCTAAGTAATAGCTGCTGTTGTGTTTCAGTCAAATCTGTATCCAAATGTTTATCATGTAAATGATCTCTCTGTAATTCATCAAATTTGGTGTACGTACGCAGAAATGAGAGTATTGTTTCCAGCATTTCAACATGAACACCTGACTAAAAGTAAAGCAAATGCATGTTGGTGGAAAATGTGGGTCCCCGGTGCATCTACCAAAAAGATTAACCCAGTAACTTTGCTTTGGTAAGCTTTTATTTTTTTTTGCAAGCATCTGAAAAAACAAGCGCGTCTGATTTCGCTCCACTAGTGATGTTGCAAAGGGATCTCATTATAAAATTACCGCCCCTTAATTTGCACGTTTCCACCCACGACGCCGTCATTTTGATTTCGCAAGCGACAACGGTGTACCAGCTCTAATGCCATGGCGAAAGTTTGAGCAAAACACGTTAACTGTTCTGTCTTTGGCTGCACAAACGAGCACAGAACACTATTTAGAGTCCCAGCCTCAGAGGAGACAAGATAGCAGTGGATCTATTGATTTATTTACTGTATATTGCTGCTGCCACACAGATCTAAAATAAACATGCCATTTATTTCCCAGCTGTTTACCTTCACAGACATAACCGACTGTTTTTGTATCTCGTGTGTTTTTAACGTAAACTTGTGTGTTAATGAGAACTTAGTTTAGTACTCACATGCTGTGACAGCTGCTTTCTGTCAGTGTGCTTCAGATGTGTGCACTCAGAAAACCATATTTCAGAAGTTTAAACTCATATGGTTTAAAACGCATGATTTCAGCTCGATAAACATTAGAATCGGATCCTAAACAGATGTTTTTAGCAGGTATGAGCTGCTCTATTCTGGAAAAGGGGGTGGGGAGCAGCAGCTCCTTTGCATTTAAAGAGACAGACACGAAAAACAGCGTGTTTCTGCTTCCACTCAAAATAGGCATTTTCAAAATGATATAATAAATGATCTGTGGAGTATTTTGAGCTGAAACTTCAAGTCAAATCTGTATCCAAATGTTTATCATGCAAATGATCTCTCTGTAATTCATCAAATTTGGTGTACGTACGCAGAAATGAGAGTATTGTTTCCAGCATTTCAACATGAACACCTGACTAAAAGTAAAGCAAATGCATGTTGGTGGAAAATGTGGGAAAATGCAGACATAACCGACTGTTTTTGTATCTCGTGTGTTTTTAACGTAAACTTGTGTTAATGAGAACTTAGTTTAGTACTCACATGCTGTGACAGCCGCTTTCTGTCTGTGTGCTTCAGATGTGTGCACTCAGAAAACCATATTTCAGAAGTTTAAACTCATATGGTTTAAAACGCATGATTTCAGCTCGATAAACATTAGAATCGGATCCTAAACAGATGTTTTTAGCAGGTATGAGCTGCTCTATTCTGGAAAAGGGGGTGGGGAGCAGCAGCTCCTTTGCATTTAAAGAGACAGACACGAAAAACAGCGTGTTTCTGCTTCCACTCAAAATAGGCATTTTCAAAATACTATTATAAATGATCTGTGGGGTATTTTGAGCTGAAACATCACATACACATTCTGGGGACACCTGAGACTTATATTACATAAAGTAAAAAGGGGCATAATATGTCTTCTTTTTAAGATTTGGAATTAATGACACATTACATACTGTAATACTTGTAATATATCGTTATAAACCAATTGTTGTAAAGGTCCTGTTTTTTAAACCGTTACTTAATAGTATACTAGCTTCAAAGCTGAAGAGTTATTTTTTACAGACGGGGCGTCACATGCCTACATGCACATTCATGTTTGTAATTTTTTACATGCTGAGATTTTAATCGTCTCTCTTACCTTTCAGACCCAAATCCAGTACCTGAAGCAAGTCCAGCAACCGAGCGCGGCTCAGTTGAGATCGTCCATGGTGGACCCAGCCATCAACTTATTTTTCCTCAAAATGAAGACTGAACTGGAACAGACTAAAGACAAACTGGAGCAAGCCCAAAATGAACTGAGTGCCTGGAAATTTACACCTGATAGGTAAACTAAAATAACTCCCCCCTCCAAACAAAAAGTCAAGACTTTCCTGATTTACCCCCCACCTTCTCCTCTGCAGGAGTGCAGATAATGGTGGGGGAAGACTGAAATGTTTTGCTCACAACGAGACTCAGACTTTAAAGCCAAAGCTCAGAACAAAAGACATTTTTCTTTCATATTGCCCTATTACAAATACCATAATGTAAAATCAGAACAAAACCCAACAGTTTTGGTCAGGTGACACTTTTGTTTCAGCTTTCTCTCTCCCTCCCCCCCCCACACCCCTCATGGTACAGAAGCCTGAAGGAATCGGGACTGTTCCTGAAGAGGTGGTCACG